AAGCCTCGGAAAAAATTTTGGCAAAGGAAAAATCGTCTTAGAATTGAGTCAAGTATATGACATTGTAAGAACAGAAGGTTGTTTTGAATCACCCTGTATATATCGAGTGGTTTATTTCATCAAGTTAAGGTATCAAAAAGAAAAGAGAAGAAAGAAAAGAGGTAGAAAACTTGCGTCTTGAAATGCAAATTCGCGCAGCTATACTGAGCTCTGTTTACGAGATCAACGTACTACTACTTGGATTAGGCTAAGAACCTAAGTCTGCGGAGTGTGCAAAAGTGCGAACGTTAAGAGGAGATATTCTTCCAACTCGGAAAAGAGAGAAGAGGCTCTCTATTTTATCCAATTCTTATACATGTATTTGTAGACTTGAAATTCTGAAGACATAAAGAAATATAATATGCCATAACGATGATTCAACCGCTATTTGTAATATGTACAGAGAGAGGGACATAATAATATATTAATAATGTTATACAAGATTGCAAAAAGTAAAAATATATGTAAAAAATGTAACTTCCTAACACAAATCTTTTCAAATATAATATTAAAAATAAAATATTAATACAAGAGAGTCTATAGATAAATATATTAATTATTATATATTTTTATATATATATAATATAATAAATTATATTATTATATATTATATAATATTATTGTTTTAATAAATATTAATTATTTTACATTTGTCGGCGCAATAAAGGTGCGTAAATAAAATTTAAAGAGGCAAGCGAGGGGAACTGAAATGGATACATCATCGGATATCAGTTAATTGGCACGCTCGTTATTTTCGCTCTGACCGCCGGCGACCACAAGCCAAAGCCGGTTAGCCGTGATATCGAAAAACAATCAGAGGCTCACACTCGCATCACGACGTGACTACTATCTCTCAATGTATGCAACAAAAAAGGAACAATGTCACGCGTCCACTGTTACGTCGATTGTGAGATACTTGGAGAGAAGAAGATCTATTCAATTTATCTCAAAGTGTGTTACGCGTTTCGAAATTACCCGCGTGATTTAAGAGACTTCCAGAATCCGGATTCTATATCCAGAATAGATTATTTGCAAGGATTAATCGCGGATAGTGATACGAAAAGATCTTTAATATAAATTGCGCTCGCTAGCTGAAGAAATACCATTTCTCTTATATCCCTCCAATTGTTCGCCTATGTCCGCTCCATCATTTTGACAGAAAAAAATTGAGTGGACATAGTGTCTCATCCGTCAGTGCAACGAAAATAGCCATAGCGAAATATACAAAAAGTGCGCTTGAAATTAAAAGAAATTTTAAAAAACTTTCTTCCGTTTATTAAATAATCATCAAAATAAAAGCAATGGTTATATTTTGGTTTATTTATCTCCGGATTAGGCTAACATATCGTTAACGAAAATAATGGCAATTAATGTTATTATTATTATCATTATTATTATTATACATTATATTATTTTTATTATTATATAATAAAGTGAACTTTTTTATATTTTGTATTACATAATTTTTTTTAAAAGCGTCTAAAATTTAAATTTTTTTTTGAATAATTGAATAATTAATTTTAAAAGTTAACATCATTTTTCTTTCTTTCTTAGGGATCTTATTTCATCTGTTCTTTATATAAAATATTTCTTTCTCTCTTTCTTTCTCTTTCTTTTTTTTATCTCTCTTTAAAAGAAATAAACCGCTGGTGACACCAGGGATTTTATCTTAAAAGTTTGCAAAAAATTTCGTTATTTATCGATTTCCATAAATATCCTGTACGGATCAGTACTATTAACGCAGTGCGATTACATGAAGGCTGCATGTTGCTGTTTACAGAGTCACCAGGCGCGTTATCATTATCGGCTTCATCATCGTGAATGACAACGTTTTGAGACGGCATTGAGTCGGAAAGCTCGAAAAGCGATCGATCGAAAACGGAGCTGGAGATACCATCGCGTCGTGCGCGATTTTAATTTTAATTTTGACACCTACGGACTCTTCCAATTTCCGGTTCATCGAAGTGAAGAATCGTAGAGAGAGAAAGAGAGAAAGAGAGAGAGAGAGAAAGAAAGATAGAGAGAGAGAGAAAGAGAAAGGAAAGAGAGAAAGAGCGGAACCACGTCCGATGCGCCTGCGATAAGATAATAATTCATAACACTGATAAAAAATAGGGACGTTTCTCTTCGCGTCGACGGCGAGTAAAACTTGTACTCGCTCGGCGCCAAAATTTCGACGGTGAATTTTCTCTCTCTTTCTCTCTTTCTCTCGCACTTTCATCATCGCACAGACTCCTCCAGCATAGTAAACGCTGACCTACTATTCCGCGCATTTCCCCGTCCGACTTTCCACGATATTTCATAACTCGCCGCGCGAACATCGCGGCGGTTGACGTGCGTCGTCGGCAGACGAGTTATAATAATGGAGAACTGCGCTTTTTCGGAAAAGCGCAATAAGCGGACTCTCCTCGGATATGTATGTTTTGTGACATCGAGTCAGTTGGAAGGTCAGCGCAAGACGGCGTAAAAACACGGAGAGTAAAGTTAAAACTTCATAAAAAAAAAAAATAAAATAAAATAAAATACATGTCAAAATACGCTTTCTGAATTTAATACACATGACGTCTCCGTAATATACAATAACAACTGTTTTTAAAGATATATCTCATGTATATTTTCCTTTCCCTGTATGTATGTATATATATATA